AAAAACATGGGTCGATTTTCGCATTGGTCTGAACTCTGAACAAAACAACAGTTTTATTGAAAATGCTCATTCATTCTCTGCCAGCAGGTGGAGCGTTTGGTAGAAATATAACTGTTTCCCCGGTAACAGCAGAACACAAAGCAGTGCAGCACCGGACTTAGAACATGCAGTGCTCATGTTTAATTAATGAAATCATAGCCTTTTGAAGTTTAATCGTCACATTCAGCCGTATCGCAATTCTGGTCTTTCCGTCCCCAAATTTAAGACCTCTTGAAATCATAATTTTTTTTTTTTAAGATTTATTTTTTGGCATTTTTGCCTTTTATTGATAGGATAGTAGTGAGACAGAAAGCGAAGTGGGAGAGAGAGGGGGATGGGATCGGGAAAGTTCCGCGAGCCGGGACTCGAACACGGGACGCCATGTCGACGCGCTGCCCACGAGGCTATCGGTGACGACTGAAATCATAATTCTTTCTTATACATTTTAAGACAATTTGTAAGACTTACAATTTAAGACTTTTTAAGGCCTTAAATTTGATGCAACTAAATTTAAGACTTTTTTTAAGACCCGCGGAAACCCTGTTTCAGTTTTCCTCCAAAATAAAAGCTCAAGAGTTTAACTTTTGCAAGAGAAGAAATTCATAAGTGTTGTAAATTTACTATTGTAAAGTAAAAATGAATATTAAATTAATAAAATACCATGCAGTTATATTACAATAGTAATATTCTATCTTGTATTATTATTATTATTATTATTATTATTATCTAACTGGGAGAGGTAGCAGGCCTGAGGAATCTTAATTGATAAGACAATACTTTGGATAAGGTCAAAATTAAATGAACTACTCTTACTGTTCAAATTTTATGCATTTAATATGGCATATTTTTGAAAAATTGAATCAAAATCTATATATATATATATATATATATATATATTTTGAGGTATTGTATCAAATTTAGAAATTCCATTACCACGATAACACTACTTCATACAAAATCTTTTAAATCTTTCAACAAAATGCTAAAAAAAAACAACAACTCAAGATGAAATCCTTAAATAACTTTCACAATTCTCAAAACGAAAATTCGAGCAGTGCTTGACTGGCTGTCAAATAAGCAATCAAAGACTTCAGGTTCTGCCCTAAAAGACACAAGAAAATCATGGCTAAAATCATGCAGTCTGCTATTCGTATTTAATGGAAGTAAAATAAAATTGCATTCTGTTCTCCATTGAAGCTTGAGAATTTCAAGACGCAGCTCGTCCAGGCTGTGAAAAAAGCCCATAAAGACTTCCCCATCCCGGGACGAGCCAATGGCGTGCTGATACTGGAGCGGCCGCTCCTGATCGAGACTTACCTGGGCATCATGTCCTTCATCAACAATGAAGCCAAACTGGGCTACGCCATGACAAGGGGAAAAATCAGCTTTTAACTCCTGAATTCTCCCTCCATCTCTCTCATCCTCCAGTCAAGTGCTGTTTTTGAGTGATACCGCTACACTTGAGTATGTGAGTCCAGTACATACTGCTTGTTTTGTTGTTTGGATAGCGTGTGAAATGTGCCAGGCAGTGAGACGTGTGGTCACTGCAGCAGGATGTGCCTGGATGAAGCCCTCTTCCTCTATTCACATGTAAAACAAAAGCCTTTCTAATGAGGTTGAATGGTTTGAAGAAGTTTGTTTGTGTTACTGGCATGCTTTATTGACCATTGAATATTTTTAACAAAAATTGTGGCAGTCGACTAGTTTGTAGGTTGACTGAATGACTTAAGGAAGCCCTTTTCAGATGGTTTAGGGTTCACCTGACCCTGCTCTGCTGACTTTCTTAGGGGCCGTTCACACAGAATGCATCTAAAAACGCGAGACGCAGCGCTCAGGAACGTTTTTTTGGTTTGTTTTTTTAAGTGCAGTGCTGAATGCCTCCTCCGCCATGCTGCCGTCAAATATAACACGCCAACTTGCTACTGTAAACAAAAACTTGCAACGCTTGCTCCGCCTCCAGTGTCTTCTGATTGGTCCACTGTTTGGAGCTTTATTGATGAGCGGCGCTGCGTGTTAAATAAAAGCAATAAGCCCCAAGAAGCCGTGATTTACAGTGAATTTATAACAGCTAAGGGGCGTTGTTAGGCACCCCCTTAGCTGTTATAAATTCACTGTAAACCACGGCTTCACGGGGCTTATTGCTTTTATAAAACAGTTATTTCATATACGTAGTAAGGTTTCACAGAATAAAACGGAGCAAATAAACTGTAATGATATTAATAAAAACAGTATTCTTCCACCAAACAATGTAGTTCCTCAGAAACGGTTGTGGTTCCAACAAAGTGGTTGCCGAGCAACACACAAAGTAAACAAAGGTGTATGTTTGTAGAGTAATTTACAACAGCTTCGAGACTCAACCAATCAGAATCAAGGACCGGAACTAATCGTTTTATAAGCTGAAATTCTTTTAACTTGACACAGCGTCTTAAAAGCGTGGAGCTCATGTGCGAGACACTGCAAAACATGTGATTCGCAAGGGCAACGGTCCTACACATCCGTCTACCGCGTTTATGTAGAAAAAAAAACAAACAATAGAAAAGTAGTGCACTTGAATGGAAAAATGCATACTGTGTGAAAGGCCTCTAGTGGAACAAAACACAGGAGTTTCGAGACACGTTTTTATTTTTTTTTCATTTAAATGTTTTGTAACCTGAATGCAAAAACTTAACTCAATACTCATGGCAGGATGCTCAAACCAACAAATAAATGCACAAGAAGCATGGCAACAACCGTAGACATCCGTTTGTGTATGGCTGTAGCAACAGAGCTTTAATGGGATTTAAATTTTTTTTTAAAAGCTTCCATTTAACCACATCAACACCAAACAGCTAAAGAATAGGCTGGACAGTCCTGAAATAGGGAGCTTTGTCTGCTAGAGCCAACAAAAATACATGTTCAAGATGCACTGAATCCGGTGAAATGCATTTAATGCTTGTATAGTTAATAAAGAAACATAACCTAGTCGCTACTTAAGGAAATAATTTTAGTATAAAATGTGGTGTTAATCAATCTAGCTGCATTCAAGATGTTGCATTCTGAACATTTACGATTTCCGGTAAAGTTGCGATGAAAATCAGGTATCTGTAGTTTGACGTATATCTGAATGGACTAACAAAAAAGAAAAAAAAAGTAGGGTTTGAATTGGGTTCTATGCATGGTTTGTTGATTGCATTTGGAGGTGTGGGTGTTTGCTGGGACGGGTTAAAGTGCACTAGATGATCAGAGAAGTCCTGTATACGTCACCTGTTAGAAGTCTGCTGTCTCATTGGTGGATTCGCTTATGACATTTTGATTAAACAATATGAGGTCAAAAACTATATAAAAAAAACACATATGCACAGATGAATTATTCACAATACAACCAATAACATGCATTTGAAAAATAGATTTCCATTTCATACCAACTTTAAATACCAGTGGAGTTTGGAGATTTGTCCATTTTTAAAATGGTGTACTTCAAACAAATGTTTGTGAATTTAGTTGAATGTAAATTTCCATAATTGTGTTCACAATTGATCACAAATAAAAATAATAATAATATATATTATATATGTGGCTAAAAAGGTTTCAAAACTTGTCAGAGAAAAACTGCATGCCTTCTGAACAGTATTACTATCAAATGACAACTAAGGCTTACATTATATAAAATGTATTTATTTTACTCTTAACTGCAGTGCTTTTATAGGGGTTGGAACTCTCTGAATAACGTTAATTTGGACTGTTTACGATTAGGGTTGCAAAAAGGTGGACAATTTCCAGTAAATTTAGGAAACATTCCAGAAATTTTGGAATATTCCAGGGATTTTTGGAAAGCTTCCGGAAATTTACCGAAAATGTTCCACCCCTTTGCAACCCTAATTAAAATTTTGCTTTAGTACTTTGGTATTGCTGACATATGAGAGCTCTAATAATTTTAGATCTAGACCCATGAGTCCTTTACATTTATATTCATCTGTTCTGTCGTCTTTGCAAAATGTAACACTTTTGCATAAAAAAAAAAAAAAGAAATCTCAATTCTAAACTTATGAGGTCACATTGCAATTATCAATGTGTGAAATAAATGTAATACAGAACAAACAGTATTGATAGCATTATCTTTAGATATAACACTGGCTTAGGTAACACACCAAAAAACCACAGTATGATAGACAGAGGACATGTATTATTCTCAAGTGTGTCCACAGGAAGCACCTGCCTGACATGTATTTTCACACTCCGCTAATATTTCAAAATGAATTGCAGGTCTTCTTGTGGCTGCTGTAGTGTACTACTGTTACATGTGCTTTATGTTTGTGTGCTTATCCATGATTTATGCCTTATTTAACCTAAAAGACAATGTTTAAATCCACAGAAAGTTCAAATGAAGTTAAGCTTTTCTTTTTAACCAAGGCAAATAGATAGTGTGTGTTTGATGCTGTTAATTCCTCAGGTGACGTTGGTCAACAGATTGGCTTTAAATGAACTGTTTGTTTAAGGATGCATGACACGGCAAGGTTGCCGCTGTTGAGCGATTATGGGTTCTGAGATTTTGAAGTATTTTTTATGCATATGCACTTTTGTTGGCTAGTTTCGTTTTTTTTTTTTGCTATACTTGGAGAAATAGTTGTAACCTTGTTGAAATGACGTCTCGTGGTTTGTTTTTAAACACAGGCATTTTTTTTTAATGAAATGTAATGTTGTGCATGATGATTATGCCTGCAACTTGTGTGTATAATTTCTTAGTCATAGCCTCAATTCACCAAAAAGAAAATGTAAGCACCTTTTCCTCTGCTCAAAAATACATGTAATTGTTTTTCAAGTGAAAATTATTTGCATACCTATTCATCCATGTTATTATAGTAAAATACTGTTTCTATCACCCAAATCAAGCCTAAATCTGAACTCTTCCAGGTTTCTGTTTAAATTGAATTTTAGGAATCATCTTTAAAAAAATGTTGTCTGAATGTCATCACACTGATTTATGTAATGTAGACATCATACTTCAAGTAAACTTATGCTTATTTTAACACTTTTCAATTGTCATACGTCTTATTTTTACAAAATGATTTATGCAAGGTTGAATCTCACCAAATTTGACAAGAACAGAAATTTTTTTTTTGGCAATATTTTTTTACATTGTGAGTTTAAGCACAAATCCACACAAATTGGATGTAAATCAATCTTAATTAAATCTAAATGTAAGTATTCATAAATCTTAGTAGTATTTATTTCTTTAGTAGTCTATTACAGTAATAATTTTTGTGAAATGTTCAGGTGTTATGAGATTCACCATAATCTCTTAAAAAAAAAAAAAACTTAAGGGAAATGTAGATAAATGTAGAAAACTTTATTACAAAAAGCTCTAAATTTATAAAAAATAAATCTAGTTTTTAAACCTTAAACATGAAGGAAAAACAATGAAATACAACAGACATTGTCATTCACATTCATCTAAAAAAAAAAAACATACAGCTACAAAATCGCAGCAAATCTAAAGTGACATAAATGTGATGTGTTTGTATGATATATTTGGTCCTCCAAAACAGCTATTTAGCTTGTGTAAGGCCATAAGAAGCAGATCAAAGCATTGGTTCATTTGCACTAGGCTGGTACTGGAGAACCACATGTATGCTAAATGTGCTCTGCTTGAGAACACAAACCACATTTGATTCCCCCAAAGACTATTTTACTCATTACAGCATGTGCTCTATTGAAAATCACCAGTTTGTGTCAAGATGAAAAAGTTATAAAGTGCTGAGGTGTATTTGCAGCCACAGTGCTTGTCTGGAGTTGGAGAGCAGATTTCTTACGCTCATGCGGGAGCAGTTTCTATTCTGCAGGATTGCAGAAGCTGCTCCTGTATTGTAGAAATAGGCTCTGAGGAGTGCGATGAAGAGCTTCGGTTTATTTCTCCTCCTCTGCTTCCATGTAACACAGGCAGATGTGCTCTTTTGAGAGCAGGACAAGCGAGCTGCCACTGCAGTGCCAAAACAGAGACTGCACCTGAAAACTGCCTGCGAGGAAACACAGAAACAGAAGTTAGATGTTTCCACACAACTTCCTTTTATGCAAGCAGCTTCCTGTATTGTTTAGGGGAAAACGTATTACCTAAAGAAAGGCTGATACAATCAAACCTGTGACTGTGCATCAATTAAATTGTATAGTAATGCAAAAATCATTTCCTTATAGAATGATTTTTGTTTTGGTCATTATCTTTCTTGATAACAGTAATCAGCCTACAGTGAGACTAATGAAAGAGTTGATCATGGATGCACAAATATATTAAAATTCAGCCCAATTCAGCTTCGAATTAGGTATAATGCTAAATGACAGATAATACAAATTTATCAAATGTATAGAATAACTATTTTTCAGTATAAATGGTCTTATTAACACTTCCAAACTAAAATAAATCATTTGAAATGCTATAAATAAATGTTGGCATTACAGAAATGGATATTCAATTTTCAAGACTTGATACATTTAAAAGTGATAAGTTAGTGTTTTCTTATTGATTAACTTTAATAAGAATCTTATGGCAAAGGTCATCTAAATCTAAAAATCAAATTCTAAAAAAATATGGGAAATGAGCGTGTATAATAATTTATTAAATATACCATATCGACTGATAACATTAAAGAAATAAATCTCTAATATATATTATAGGGAAAAACAAAAAAAAGAAAAAAAATATAGAAATAATATTCATAGCAGGAAAATGTAGCCACAACTAGCAGGTGGCACACCATTCATTTTGACCAGTAACACACAGCCGCTTACTGCTTTATTATAACACACAGAACTGTATGTGCTGTTCAAGCAATGGGGTAAAAGCTTGTTTGAATGTAATGCTGAGGCATGCACTGTGGTGAAACTGGATCCATACCTTCGACTGGTACATTCACAGACACGCAGCCAGCTGGTGACCACAGATAAACTTTGGTGTTTCCGGTGCAGAGAGCCAGTCGAGGTCTGCGTGGGTCCCAGACAAAGCAGCGCACAGGAGCCGTCTGCTCCAGGACGGCCAGCAGACTGAGTCTCTGCATGTCCCACACCCACAGGCTCTGAGGCATGTTATCTGACAGACATT